CAGGGGACCGCCTCCTTTGCCCGCCGCTGTTGCGGCCGCGGGCTCCGCGGCAGGAGAACCTGCCGAGGCACTCGAGCGGCCACCTTCCCATGCATTCCACCAGCCACCCTCGTCGTCCCACCAGCGGGCGCCCTCCATTCCCCAACCCTCGCATCCGTTGCCGCCCCATCCGCCGCCCTCCCATCCGCGACTGCGGTCACTTCCGTCGCCGCCATCCTGCGCTTTTCCTCTCCATCCGCCAAGAGAATCTCCGCCGCCCCAGCCGCCACTGCGGTCACCTCCGCCGCCGTATCCGCCACTGCGGCCGCCCCAACCCCCACTTGTTCCCCAACCGCCGCCGCTGCTCTTTGAAGAATCCGCAACTGCGGCCCGTGTTTCCTCTTCCGCTTTGTCATCCCACCCTGCACGCATCTCTGCCCCGACTGCAGGCCGCGGAGGCGGGCGCGAGCCCGCCCAACCGCCGTGAAACCTACCGTCGGCGCGGGCTTGAGCCGAACGTGCATGGAGGAGGAGGATGAGGAGGAGGAGGGTGAATGTGAGGAGGATGATGCGTTCCTGGGAGGTGTGCCTTCGCGTGCAACACAAGAGCCCTGAGAATTCCTGAGGCCCCTCCAACAGCCAAGGACGCGGATGACAAGAAAGTCGAGAAGATTGGGAACCGATTGAGGATTAAGAGGCGTGCGACGAAAGGGATGATGATGACGAAGAGGAAGATCAGTGAAGGGGAGGAGCGGACAGGAATTATGGAGGAGTGATAGCAGAGGAGGAAGAGGGGGAAGGGGGAGGAGGAGGAGGAGGAGGAGGAGGGAGAGGAAAAGGGGGAGGAGGAGGAGGAGGAAGAAGGGGAGGAGGAGGAGGAGGAGGAGGAGGAGGAGGAGGAAGAGGAGGAGGAGGAGGAGGAGGAGGAGGAAGAGGAGGAGGACGACGACGACGAGGAGGAGGAGGAGGAGGAGAGGGAGAAGGAGAACGGGGACAGGAGGACAAGGACGGAGAAATATAACAAATGAGGGGGAGGAGGCGGAGGAGGAGGAGGACGAGGAGGAGAAGCAGGAAGAGGAGGAGGAGAGGGGGGAGGAAGAGTGCGCGTGAGACTGGGAGAACGAGGTAATTAATTAGAGAGGGAACGGGGGAGGAGGGAGGACAAGGAAGAGCATACAGCGACGAGAAGAGGAGAAGGAACAGACGAAGGCTCCTGCTGATCGCATTTCCGCATCGTTCAAAGCAGTGCCGGGGCACTGCTTTGAACGACTGGTGATGTTCAAAGCAGTTCCCCGGCACTGTGTTCCATCGTCGCCGTTATAAGGGCTATCGGATTAAGTGTAAGAAGATGCCCTCGCCTTGCTGCCCTGGACGCTCGTAACAGTACAAGGTCGTGCTAACGTGGGGCAGCTCGCACACGTTGTGGTGGAGAACTCGCGCGGAAACATCAGAACGGTCAGCTTCCGCAAACGCCCGCCAGCTTCCATCGCGAATCACGTCGGTACAGTCAGAGCGAGCGCATTGTCTGTGCAGGCCTGCACACATTGCATGCTTCATTGACGACGGCCAGGGACACGGCTCCAAGACACCTGCCCAGGAACACCACATCAAAGATACCATCAACTCCAACCAACCTACAGCTGGAAAACGACCTTCCAAGTCGACTGTCGGTCTCCCAGAGCCTCGTGAGAACACGGGGCGGGGACTGGTGTTCGCAGCCGCCCTGGCCATGTGCCAGGAACCCCAGAATATGCACGCGCATTGAAAAAACTGTGCCCCGGCAGCGCGGCCGATATTCGGCCGCAGCCTGGGCCTCTCACGGAAGAGGAGGAGGAGGAATAGGAGGACGAGGAGGAGGGGGCGGATGAGGAGGAGGAGGAGGAGGAAGAGGAGGAGGAGGAGGAGGAGGATAGAAGGAGGAGGAAGGGAGGACAACCACCAACTGCTTATGAACACTGGGCCCTTCGGTGGCGCTGCACGCGAGACGCGCTTGCCAGGGAGGCAGACACGGCATAACACGAACAAGACTGTACAGTACAGGACGAAATGGAAAGAAGGGGAAGGACGAAGCAGGCAGGTAGCAAACAATCAACGGGCGGAACTTGATCGTCTGGTATCGGCGGCCCGTTGTCGGTCGGCGTGGGGCAACGGGAGGGGCAGAGTGGGGCAGGGGCAGAGGCGGGAGGGCGGCGGAGTGAACAGCACGGCCGGCCTTGCTCCGGCAAGCCTGGGTGATATCCGCTCCGCCTCTCGGGCCGGACGGCAGGCCTGGACCCGCCTAGTAGCTGCCTGGCGCCAAGGAGCTTGGTGCCGATGGCGGCTGGGAGGCGCCAGTGCCACCACTGCCCGCCGGAACAGCCGCACCCCCGCGATTATTTGATCGCGAGATTGCGGAAGGTGGCTGTCGCCCAAAAGGGAGGTCAGCCATAACACGAAAACACCAATGACGTGATGTTCTACCGAACCTCGGCATCCGCGCGCGCGGAAGAGTACTCGACTTGTCGTCGGCGCACGGTTGCCGCGCAGCCTGGGCCAGCGGCCGCTGCGTCGGGCGAGGCCGCGCTGACGTACAGGGCCAAGAGGCTCTTCCCGAGAGCGCCAGTGAACACGTCGGCAGGTCGGAGCAGCGTGCCCGGCACCAAACCTGGAGCCTCGAGCTCGGCGTCTGGGTCGCACACTTTGCAGGCGTCGCGCGCCGCCCGCGCTACTGCGTGGCGTCCCCTGGTGGATTCTGCGCGGCAGCAGCGCAAGGCGCGCGACCCAGCACGAGGGCAGCGCCGTCGAGACCGCAGGGGGCATGGTCGAAAGGCGCCGGCGCAAAGGCGGAGGGCCCCGACTAAGTTAGGGGAGTCCATCGCTGGGCCCTCATGTTCGGACAAGTTCCAGGGCCAGGCGAGGTCGCTGCAGCGCCGCGTCGTCCGCCGCGTCCTGGTGTTGCTGTCGGAAGTCGTGCCTGCCACGCCCGTCGAAGTAGCTCAGGAGCGCCCGCTGCAGGTGCATCTGCCTCGTGCGAGGGGGCGCGTTGGGGTGTTCGTCGTCTTCGTCCTCATCGACGGGGAGCAGGTTGCGGCCGATACCCTGCTGGGGGCGGGCGCGACGCCCCTCGGCCGCGGCCGCGGCTGCGCGCAGGGCGACAACCGCAACCCAGCGTTCCTTGGCTTCCGCGGCAGCCTCTGAAAGCGCGGCCACGGCTAGGTCGCCCTCCGCGGGCGGGAGGCCGAGGGCGAGGCGGGCCGCGGCCTCGTCCGTCTGCTGATCGCACGTGGCCATGACGACCCCTGCGCTGCTTAGCTCTCTCTGCTCGGCGCGTGGCCATCTCGCGCACGTGTGGCCTCAAGCACACGCGGCTGGCAACGAAGGCGGCGAGCGACACTTGCGACGCGGTCTGCGTGCCGAGCCCGCATTTGCTCGTGCCGAGCGCGCACTGTTCCCATGCCGCATCAAGGAGGTCGCCGCTTGCAACGAGATGCACCGCTTTGCTGAGGTCTTCGTCGAACTGCCACAGGCGCTCGCTCTTCACATTGCACCCTTTGAGCTGGAGCTCGTGGGAGAGCTCAGACACGTCGGCGCAGAACCGCGAGGAGTACCAACTCGGTGCCTGGTGTGCCCGGTGTGCCCCACTTCAAGCAAGGCGGAGGCGGGTGCCGCGTGCCTCAACAAGCACGGCACTGACCCTGTCATCGAGCGCGCCGGGGCTGCCGAAAGGGGCGCCGAGCGCGACGGCGGGCGCTTTGGGGGGGCTCGACGCCATCGGCGTCGCAGCCGTCGGGGCGGCGTCGCTCGCCGTCGGGCACGGCAGGCCGCAAGAGCCCGCGGAGGTGCCGGCAGCCAGGCCCGCGCGTGCAGCCGAAGGGCGCGAGGCTGGCGCCGATGCTGCGCAGGGAAGGGTCCAGGTGCGGGCGGGCACACAAAGACCTGGCCATCGTCAACGGACCATTGCTCGCAGGCGCCCGAGGTGGCGACGGCGCCAGGAGCCCGCGGTCCAGTGAGGGGGGGTGCCGCGAGCGTGAGCCCCGCCCGCACCGTGCCAAAGGCTGGCGTGAGCCGCCAACTCCGAGGCGCATCCCGTGGTAATGACGGGCTTGGCTGGTCTTCGACCACGGATATACCAGCGCCAATACAGAAATTTACGTCCGGAGAATTACAGGCCGACGCACGCACTCCTTCCACGCTCGCTCTCTCTCTATATCTCTCTCTCTCTCTCTCTTTTGAATGTTTTTCTTTTCCTCTCTCTCTCTCTCTCTTTCTCTCTCTCCCGACGCCAGACCGACCTGTGCCGGCAAGGGAGGAGGGCCCGCACCGGGGTCTGGTCGCGACGCTCGGACCTGAGGCATGTGCACTGATGGGGGGGGGGTCGCCGCGTTGCCCTGATCGTCGTTGTCGGCCTCGCTCGTCCTCCAGGCATGCAAAAGAGGCAGCCCCACCCCCACCCAGCCCAAAAGTAGAACCTTTCTGGAGCCAAGAGCAATCTCTGGATCGCTGGAGCCGCGGCTGTCGACATCACGCGCACGCGAACCATAACAAGCAACAAGAACTGAAACGCCAGCTGGGGGTCACAAAACCGAATAGGAATAACAGGAAATTGTTCGCCGCTGGGAGCGCCCAGGGGGGGGGGGAGGGGAGTCATCCCCTGATACTTGCGGGGCTGACATATGCAAGGCGGGGGCGGGTATACTTGCCGTGCCTGCGTGTTCTGCAGGGCATCCTCGATCGGGAGCCGAGGCCCTCTGGCCAGGCCCCAGATCTAGGGCGGATGCGCGCCTCAGAGTCCTCGTCGCTGTCATCGTTGCGGGACCCAAAGGTATACACCACCACCACCTCCTTCATCCCCTCCCTCCCCCAGGAAGGAGGAGAGGAAGATGAGGGTGGAGGAAGATGGAGGAATCGACGTGGTGGTGGTGTATATTCTTGGGACCCGCAATCGTCGCAGCCCTCGTCGTCGCCTTCGTCGTCGGCCTCGTCGTCGTCGTCCTCGGCGCGGCGCGAGGCCCCGGGGGGGGGCCGCGAGGGCCCCTCCGCGCCTGGGAGTAGACGGGCACCCCGAACACCGTGCACCAGAAGGCCACGCGCAGGGACAGGTCTGGCGCGGGGGGCGCCGCCCCAGCGAGAGAGAGAGAGAGAGAGAAAACAAAAAAAGCAGAAGCACGGCATCTCCTGCCCTTGGCGGGTGCTTCCCCCCCTCGCGCCTCCTCCTGTCCTCCTCCTCCTCCTCCTCCTCCTCCCCTCCTCCTCCTCCTCCTCCTGTCCTCCTCCTCCTCCTCCTCCTCCTCCTCCCATTTGTCCTCCTCCTCCTTCCTCCTCCTCCCTCCTCCTTCCTCCTCCTCCTCTGTCCTCCTCCTCCTCTGTCCTCCTCCTCCGCGAGAGCGTCGCGCGTCGATCAACAAAATACGCGAACGTGCCTTGCGCGCCCCCCCAAGATGGCCCAAGAGAGTCAAAACACGTCGTCGTCGTCCCCCTTCAGGCTTCAGGCTCGGCGGCACTGGCCGTAAGGCGCCTTCGCAACACGCCATCGCTTGTGCCTTGTGCACGCTGGGGCGTGGTGGAGTGCGTCTCTGCTTTCCGGTAAGGCTTCGTTGGTGTCTTCGAGGGCCGATCCCATGCCCTCGCCGCGACCAAGGTCAGAACCTTGCCCTCCCAGAGGTCCCCTGCAGACCACCAACGGCCTACCCAATGGACTGGCCATCGCTCGGACGTCCACTCCCTGTGTTGTTTTCGGTTTCGTGCGTGGTTTTTGTCGCCAAATGATCAAGGATGCTCCTCGATGGTCCTCGCCGAGGAAAAAACGCACACGTCCGAGCGATGCCAAGTGGAAGGGGAAGGGCCCTGGAAGGCTCCCAAGGGGCCCCCAGAGGAGTTCCAGCAGGCGTCTGTAACTCTCACCCTCCCTCCAACTGCACTGCTGCGCTGGCGCGGCGCGGCGGCGGGGCTTGCCGCAGGCACTTGGAAACATTGAACGGGTAACGAATCTAAGCGCAACCGTCGCTCGATAGTTGCGGTGAGATCACGAAAGTCAACAATGGAATCCATACATCGTCTCTCTGTGGCGTCGCGTCGTTGTCGCGACGCATCTGTATGCTGGCACGTATGTTCTCACCCAGTAGCATCGCGTCGTAGGCGCGAGACCGTAGTCGCGAGACCGCATACGCACGACCTGCTTTTATTCTGGCAATCCCCACCAGGAAGCTTCAGTATATCAAGGAGTATGTTCTCAATGGTATCAGTGCCTGCCCTTTCTTGGTGTGCGTGCCTGGTGTCTGTCATTGGCCTGGACTTGATGTCTATTATTTGCGTGAGGTGTCACACGTTACGGCTTCCCGTCGGCCCCACGTGCAAACGCAACCCAGGGAGCTGGGCTGGCACGGTGGCACGGTGGCGCAGAGGGCGCCGTCGGAGAGAGCGTAGCCGGTGCTGGAAGAGAGGGGACGGCTGCATAAACATAGCGTGCTTTGCTGCGGGCGATCACAACCACGGAAACAGCTCCTGAGGCCTGAAGATGGATCCAAGATGGCCCAAGACAGCCAGCCCCTGGAAAGGCCAGAGAGAGCTCCAAGACGAACTCAAGAGCGCCATAGAGCGCTTCAATAGCGCCTCAAGAGGGCCTGACAAGGCGTCGTTTTTGTATGGCTCAAGAGGGGCGGGGCAAATCGAGGACCCTCCCCCCATGACTCCAAGAGAGCCCGAAGAGGGACGCACAGGCCCCCGACATGGTCCCGACAGGACCGCAAGATTGCTGCAAGAGGATCCACGGTTGAAAGATCCGCATCCGCACAGGCCTCAGGTGTTAAATCATCGTCGTCGTCGTCGCCGCCGCCGTCGCCTGATTTCTCTTCTATCCTATCTCCTCTCGTCCTCCATGCCCCTCCTCCTCCAACCTAACGCTTAACAAGAATTGAGTATTGGACTTGTTCTGGCAAACTCAGACTCCGCCTGGTGGACTTCTTCCGAATCCGCCTCTGTCCTCCCTCCTCCCTTCTCCTCCTACTCCTCCTCTTCCTAGTCTTCCTCCTCTCCCACCTCTTCCTCCACTGGGCCGCAAAAACACAGATGGTTCACTGTGAAGTTCACTGTGGGTTCTGCTCAGGCTGATCCCAAATTTTTGTATGACGGTCTTTCCCCCTTGTTGTTTCACAGCATGCTCCTACACGTCCCTGATCAAAACACCTCCCCTGGGCATCGTTTTCGGATGGACTGGTGGGGATACGCGAAGCGTCAAGAGTTTCAGAGGGGACCTACAGACGACGCGATGTTACTCGCAGCCGAAAGTTGCAACGGCGCGAATAGCCAGGGGAGCTTGAATGTGCGTAGCAGACGGAATGACACATGAGAATTTTCTCATGGAACCCCTCTGAACGCTTTTCCAAATCGCGCCGAAAATTTGCCCCGTCACGCCTCAGTCGCCGCAGACCCTCTTCTAAATATTCGTAGGCGTCCCAACCAGGTGATGCGAGATTGAGAAACACGAGAAGGAGAGAATAAGGTGGGGAGGGCGCGGTGAGGGGAAGGTGGTGCTGGTGGGGGGAGATTATGGGGGAGCGGCCAGAGGACATGCAATGATGGCCCAAACAGACCTTAGGCAGAACTTGTTTACAATCTTTCGACGACGGCGCAAGCAGCGCTTCTCGCAAAGAGGCACAGGAACGCGGCAGCGCACTCAAAGTGCGATAGAACGTCTTGAACGACTCCAAATACTTCACCGGCTGCCTTTCATCCTACATGTACGCAATACACAGGTATACAATGCGCAAGGTGACGTGATCATCATGCTGGGAACCTCATGGAACGCGGCAATACCGACGGACGCTTGACGAATGCTCCTAAGCTTGAACATGATCCCCACGAAGGATCTGTGTGTGTCGGACGCACTAGCTTGAAGCAGTATCCTGATACAGTAAGGAGGGCGAGCAATAACATGTAACGAGCACCAAACATCACATAACTTAACAATCATCACACCAGAAATCTGAAACTTCAAAATCAACGTTCCATTTCTGCGAAAAAACACGACTCGAGACAACACAGAGGATACGCTGTGTTGATACGTCGTGTCGCAATCAATTTCGGGACAACTAACACTGAACATGCCTATACACATGTACGTGCTCAGAACACAAAGGAAGTACATGTGCATATTCACGATGCGAAGCCATCTCACAAAATGCAAACATACTCTATATTACCATAGCAGTGCGACAACAGAGCCACTACACATCTTAGTGTTCCTGCTTTGTTGCTCGTGATCATGCACTGACTTCGTGCACCATGCGCTGAAACACCACTCGCAAAATGCTGTCACCACGCAAGCGCACGCATTCGAAAACAACTTGGGTCAGGACGCACCCGCGGCATTCGTGATAGATGCTGGAATGCTGTTTGGGCACATCGGGTGCCATACTTGCAAGATGATGCGCCTACAAGCAACGCCCACTGGGCCACTCAAGCAAACCAACTCTGGCATAACAACCTCTAGACCACGCAACCACTGCATGGAAAGAGGGGGAGAAAGATACTTGCACTCTCTTGTGTTGCATCTTCGGGGGACCTTGTCTTTCCCGCCGCGCCGCAATCCGCGTCGAAACCTTGCCGAACGCATCGAATCCACGACAGATCCGCGTCGTACCCACGCCGACCCTTACACTGCGAATCCGCGCCGCGTCAGATATCAAAAAAAAAACCCAGCTTACAAAACGGACGAGGTCTATTTTTGGGGGACGGGACCGGAAATCGGACACCCCAGCGACAACATCCTCCGCAAGCGGTGCGCACCTGACATTGTGAGAGACAAACGGGAGAACATCAGCAGAAGTGCGGGCGGTTGCAACACGGCGAGGAGAGAGGCCTCGAAACCCCCGTGGGACGCGCTGCCTGCCTGCCGGGAGACAGCAAAGTCGCACCGGGCAAGAGAATGTCCATTAGATCGCAACGTTGAAGGGGCCCTGGGACGCACAAATAAATAGACACAAAGAAAAGGATTCTCCATATTTTCCCATATTTTCTGGGTTTCTGTCTTCCCCTCCACTGCCCATATTTTCCCATATTTTCTGGGGAATCGACGATTAATTGTGTCTGTGTGTTTTTCCTCCTCCTGAAACGTGTGCTCTTCGTTGGAAACACGTGCGAAACCAAGAAAGGACGACGGGCCGGTCCTCCTTCGCGTTCTCCCGCACGGCGTCGCGATCCGTCCTGCGGCCCGTCCGTCCTGCCAAGGGGCTCGGGTCTGGGCGAGCAGGCTGACACGAGCTACGGGTCCGCGGATCCGGCGCGCGGGCGCCGGAGCCGCAGATGGAGAGAACCTGGGTCACCCAACTCTCTCGGTCGGGCGTGTCCTCCTGCAGGCGGATGTTGGACGACAAATCTTAAACACTCAGCAAACATGCTCGAGCAAAACTCAAAGATAGCCCAAGCAATCGTCCCCAAACTGTTGGTTTGACTACTTTGGCATATTCCTCCTGCAGAGGGCCACGCCCGACCCAGGCATAACTTCGCGCACCGCGCACCGCGCTTAGCTACGGGTCCGCGGATCCGGCGCGCGGGCGCCGGAGCCGCAGATGGAGAGAACCTGGGTCACCCAACTCTCTCGGTCGGGCGTGTCCTCCTGCAGGCGGATGTTGGACGACAAATCTTAAACACTCAGCAAACATGCTCGAGCAAAACTCAAAGATAGCCCAAGCAATCGTCCCCAAACTGTTGGTTTGACTACTTTGGCATATTCCTCCTGCAGAGGGCCACGCCCGACCCAGGCATAACTTCGCGCACCGCGCACCGCGCTTATCTCCGCGCCCTTGCGCCTCGCGTCGCCGCCACCGGAGAAAGACAGCCGCCTCGGCCACGGAAGGGGCGCGCACAATGCGAGCATCTTTTTGCACCCCCGCGGGCGTCCTGGGGAAGATCCCCCCCGACGAGACAAGATGCCAGTGCCGCCTGATTTGGCGGCAATGCATGCCGACTCCATGCGGAAGCGGGACCTGTCGCTAACCTGCGCACTTTAATCCGTGATTGCGTTTCGTCGACGAAGCCCACGCCAGGTTTGCAACATTCGCCCAGAGAGTGGAAATTCGAATGCAAAATTGAATCAACGACATCTGGTCGGCGTGAAATGTTACGTCTGGTCCCAGATGTGATACGAGGCGCCACGTGCTTGTAAACTGCACTGGGACACTTCTCTCACGAGTGGCATTCACTTGCAACCCGCGCGAGCCTCAAGAGGAAACGCGAAGCAAGCACGGCGCCCTGTCCACACGCTCCACTTGTAAACCTACAAGGGATGGCGAAAGGGGGGGGGGGGGGCGCCTGGCGCGGCGCCGGCGACGCAGCGACGCTGGCGAGGCCCGTGTACAGTAGGGGCCCGACCACAAGAAACCTTCCACAGGAAACCCAACCCTGAGACCCCAGGACGTCCATGGATTTTTGGTGTGGGGATGTCATGCATTCCATAGCAGAACAGTCGAAACCCAGGAAACCCAGGGAACCCTGGAGGCGAGCAGGCTGTTTCTTGGCATGGGTCTCCCTTCCACAGGAAACCCAACCCTGAGACCCCAGGACGCCCATGGATTTTTGGTGTGGGGACGTCACGCAGTTCCACAGCAGAACCATCGAAACCCAAGAAGCCCAGGGCACCCTGGAGGCAAGCAGGGTGTTTCTTGGCATGGGCCTCCACTGTATGGCGTTTTTTGAGCCTGATTTTTTAGACCTCGGCAAGTTTACTTGCATGGACGGGAGGGGGGGGGGGACTGAACCTCAGGCACGCCGCAAACGACTTGCACGTACGGAGATCACGCAAGTCGAAGCCCAGGGCACCCTGGAGGCGAGCAGGCTGTCTCTTGGCGTGGGTCTCCCTTGCAGTGCCCGCGGGCAGCCCGCGAGGCACCCCCCTTAGGGCGCAAGGCTCACGCTCCAGGATGGCCTCCGGGCGGCCCCGGATGGCCGCAAATGTTGGAGGGGCCCTGGGACACACACAAAGAAATGCACACAAATACAAGGATTCCCCATCCTTTCCCACATGTTCGGTGTTTTCGTCTTCCCCCCCCGAATTCCCATACTTTCCCATCTTTTCTGGGGGATCGTCGATTCGTTGTGTCTGTGTGTTTTTCTCCCTCCTGAACTGTGGCCAACGAAGCCGCTCCGCGCACGCGGGCCCCGAGGCCGCCCGAGGCGCTCCCGCGACGGCGCGGATGGCCCAGCGGCCGCGAGGCGGCTCCGGGTGGCCCAAAAGGCAGCCCGGTGGCCCAACGACCAACACAACGGCAGCCCGGTGGCCAAAACGCATGGGCGCGACGGCCGGCGTTCAGAGCATGTGAAAACGTGATTGGAAACGCGCTCACAACGACAAAACAAGCGTAAAACGGAAACAGATGGGACAAAAGTAGGAAAACACCGTTTAGGTCGAGCCCTGGGTCATACCGCGACGCTTCCAACATGCACGCGGAGCCCATGCAGAGGAGGGCCCCTGGAGGGACGGAGGGAGGGAGCATGGGACGTGGGGCGGAGGCGCTGTTGAGAACTGGAAGAGGGCACAGCCGGCCCTTATCATGAGGATGCGCGGTAAGGATGTAGGGGCCAAAGCCCATGCTGACATGCGGATCAAATCGGTCACCGCTAGGTGTTCCCTTAGTTCCCAAAGGACCTTCCACGCGCGCGCGGGTAATTCAGCATTTCCTGTGTGGAAAGACGCACGCAAGAAATCCTACTTGGTTGGGAACCCAATTCGTCACATTGGAAAGGCTCATCTCACTCTACGCCGGCGTGCCGACATTGGCACTGTGGACAAGATTGATTTCCCCGCGTTGGCGCGCGGGGAATTATTGCCCATGATGCACCAGAACCCACGTTAACGGGCAGATTTTTTGTTTGTCGCCGCCGAGGGTTCACATGCGATTCCAATGCGACGTCGCGATTTAGAATGGCAGAACAAAGCTCACCACCGAGCGCGCGATACCATGTTTGCGTCGCCCCATAACCCAAACCATGCGCAGACGGCGAGTCGGCTTGGGCGTCCAGTCGGTCACCGTTAGGGGCCCACTTTAGTATTCAAGCTCACGTGGCTGCTTTTTTCTATTGATGGAAAATGCACCAAACACCAACTTAACTTGGAAATGCAATCGACAAACATTAAGGGTTCACTGTCTCTCCCAGGCCGCCATGGCGACTTGTCTTGTTTAAACAACGCAGGGCTCACCCCGCCCGCGCGTTGGGAGTTCTGGGTTGCCCATGATACAAAACAGGAGCCAGGACACATATACACTTGAAAATCCAATCGGTCACCGTCCAGGGTTGGCTTTAATCTGCACGCAAACATGGCAACTCCCTGCTGCGTTGACTACAGAACGCCCCGCGCACGCCGCCCGCGCGCGAACGCGCGCAAGTGCGTGGTGAGCAATGTATTGTCTCTGAAACAAACCATGCACCAGAACCCACGTTACCTTGGAAATCCAATCGGTCACCGCGGGGGGGGCGCTTGGGATCTTTATTGCTGGCGGCACAACACTCCACGCGCGCCCACGCGCGCACTCGCGCACGCACGCGCGTGGGGAACTCTATATTGTCAAGTATACAAAACAGACAATAGGACCAATGCTAACTTGGAAATCCAAACTGTCACCCTTAAGGGTTCACCTCAGCGTTCAGATCACCATGGCGCCTTCCCAGCGTGGGCAATACAGATCTCCCCACGCGCGCTCACCGCGGGGTGAGCTCAGCATTCGGAGCACATGTTAACTTTATGATCAACCTGGTCACCGCTGAGGATTGGCCGCGATGTCCAAGCCAACATGACAATCTTTCCATTATGGGCGGTACTTTTTCCCCCACCACGCACGCGCGCGCGTGGGGACACCTGCGTTGCCCAAGTGGCAAGCCATACATCCGAATCCGTGTGAACTATGAAATCCAGCCGGCCACTGTTAAACATTGTTTTTAGTTTCCAGCCCGACATGGCGACTTGTCGATCGCGGTCAATACAACAATGATCACACGCGCGCGCCCGCGCGCGTACGTGGCGAGCTCAGCTTGTCCATGTTGCAAATGTACACGCCGACCGTATGTTAACTTAGATGTATAATCGGTCAGCACTAATACTTCGTAAACGTTTCCTGTCCAACATTGCAATTTAATCAATATTTGCACCACATATACCCCCACGCGCGCGCGGACGCGCGCGCGTAAGGAGTTAGTTTTGCGTTGTCCTGAATACAAAGCGTACGCCAGAACCCGTGACAACTTGCAAGTTTCATCGGTTACCGTTAACGGTTCAGTGTAGCTTCCAAACAAACGTGGATGGACATTGCAAAAATCATGCGCGCGTGCGCGTCCGCGCACGCGCGTGTGGAGTCACCACTGGGAAATTCACCACGCATGACCCTTAACGCTTAACCCTTACGAGTGACCGATTTGATTGCGAGTCGCACGTGGTCTGTCTTGCATGCTTCGTACACTGGACAATACAGAAATGCCCGCGCGCGCGTGGGGAAATGAACAACAATGATTTATTGTCCACAATGAACAGAAATTCCAAACAAAAAACAAAACAATTAATTATCTGGGAAATGCACGACTGGATCCCTAAACAAAGTTTTTGTGCGCCATTCTTCGAGCTGGATCGACATGTGAGGGTCTCGGGGGCCGAAACTGGGAGAAAACGCTTGGCTCGAACAATATCAGTCGCCAGCATCTCAAGGTATTGAGGAACAATTATGTTGCAAGTGCATGTCGTGCCGACTTCGGCATTGGCCCCTGACTCCCCCGGGATCGTTCACCCTTGAACGATCGGGCTGTTTTCGAAACGTTAGATCGTTCAAAATCGACCAATTCTGGGTCGCCAGCGGCGTCCCACGTTGAATTCGGGCGGTAAGGCCGCCGCCTGCTGACACGACGTGAAGCTACAGTAGGAAGACAACTAGTTCCAGGCAAAGGGGGTCTTTCGTAGTGTGGTCGCAACCAGGAAAATTCTGGTTCATTATGTGGCGCATGGCGCGTGGCAGCAACGTGCCGATACTGCACGACGCGCGCATCCCGCACGAGCAAATGCGCGAACTGCTGCATACACTCTTGAGGCCCCCTCTGCCAAAGACCCCCTCTTGCAGAGGAGCCACTCGTCCCAAAACCGCGCGGTGACCCGAGTCCCCACCGACCCGCCACGCGGTGTGGTCAGCATGCCGCCTGGGTCCCCCCGAGCACAAACTGGGAGAACATGCATGGGGGAGCGTTGGGAAGCGTTGTCTTTTCTTTTTAACCGTCTCTTACCCTGAAATCTGATTGCCTGGAGATAGGGTTAATTGGCGGGTAAAGCACCTTGTTTTCCGAGGTGTCCGGTGCGCTCTCAACCGTCTTTGAAAAACCGAAGGAAAGACTTAATCATTCTCACCCCTGGTCGTACCCATAACCGCATCAGGTCTCCAAGGTCAGACCTGCTCTTTCCCCTCCGAACGCGAGCAGGTCGAGGGCGAGGAGGAGGGCAAGGGGCGAGGAGGGCGAGGAGGGGCACCAAGGGGCGGGGCGGGCGAGGAGGAGAGCAAAGCAGGTCCTCGAGGGATGCTGCCCCGCAGCGCGTACTCCTCCCCGCGGCGCGCGCTCAAGCCGCACCACGCCCTGCGCTGCGCGCCCTCGGGGCAGGGGCCGGCCTCCCGGGGAATCGAGGGATGCTGTGCCCCGCTCTCCCTCCGTAGCCTCCTCCTCCTCCTCCTCCTCCTCCTCCTCCTCCTCCTCCTCCTCCTCGGAGCCTCCTCGTTCCCTCCTCCTTGCCATTGTGTCCCCTCCTCCTCCTCCTCCGCTCCTCTCCTCCTCTTGATCATCCTAGTCCTCCTCCTCTTCCTCCTCCTCCCCCTCCTGATCAGATCCTCCTCCCCTTATCCTCCTCTCCTCTTCCTCCATGCCCCCCTCCCGCTCCTCCTTCTGATCATGTCCTCCTCCTCCTCCTTCCTCCTCCTCCTCCTCCTCCTTTGCCTCACACCCTCCTCCCCCTTTCTGATCAGATCCTCCTCCTCCTCCTCCTCCTCCTCCTCCTCCTCCTCCTCCTCCTCCTCCTCCTCGGCGCTCGGCGTAGGAGCCCCCGGGCGCCCGAGCCGAGTGCCACCGCGGCGACGCCGGGGAGGCGGGCGAGGGAGCTCGGCGTGAGGCACGGGCGCTGCCTGGGCAGCCGGAGTGACTCCTGGGAAGTCCCGCCAGATTATGCCGTGTGGCTTCAGGCGCTTCTGGCGCCGATAGGGGGCCACATGCGAACCCGACCCCTACCCCCCACGATTTCCGGGGGGGAGGGTGGGGGTCACTTCGTTCGGGAGCTCCCGAGCGAAGTGAACCCCACCCTGCTTCTCAGAAATCGTGGGGGGTAGGGGTCGGGTTCGCATGTGGCCCCCTATTCAGGCGTTTCTGGCTACGGCCGTGCAGCTGCCTAAAGCTAGATGTTCACGGCCCGCACTATCGTGTGCAAGGGCGTGGACACCTATGCGTGCAGGGCTTGGCAAACCGACCTCTATCGAGGGCTGCGAAAACCGTTGGAAAGTTCCTTCGAAAGGTTTCCAGAACCACTTGAAACTTCCCGAGAATGACCCAGGAAGGTGTTCGAAGCTCCCTGCGAAAGGCTGAGAACCACACGAAGCTTCTCACGAATGGCCCAAGAACTGCGAAAAAAACATATCCTCCCACGCCCCTCACCAGTGGGGCCCCATCCCGTGCGACCGCGGCGGCGAGAACTTCCCAAACGCCCGACAAACTCAGACGCATCGACGTCGTCGTCGACGACGCTTACTTCTGAGCGTAGCATGGCCCTACTGGCCGACTTACCCCCCCCAGTTGGAGGCATGCGGTCGTCGACGACGTCGTCGGAGACATATGGCCGCTTCGACGGCGTCACCGACGACGTTGGCATAACCGATCGCGATCTCCGCTAGCACGGCCTTGGCCCCACTGGCCGACTCCCCCCCCACAGTTGGAGACATCTGGTCCAGGGCCCGCCCCCTCCACCCCATGCCTCCCCCTTCCTCCCTTCCCCCGCCCCCTCTTCCTCCTCCTCCTCCTCCTCCTCCTCCTCCTCCTCCTCCTCATCCTCGTTATCCTCCCCCTCCTCCTCCGTCTCCTCGTCCTCCTCCTCCTCATCCGCCTCCTCGTCCTCTTCCTCCCCCCTCTTTCTCCTTTCCTCCCTTCCTCCCCCCTCCTCCTCCTCCTCCTCCTCCTCCTCCTCCTCCTCCTCCTCCTCCTCCTCCTCCTCCTCCTCCTCCTCCTCACAGCATCGGCCCCGCACCCCCGATGGGTCCCCCCCCCCCTGTGGGTGTGGGGTGGTGCTGCTGCGGAACCATCCAGGGGGTCTAACTTGCGGGGCTCGTGCCGAGTGCGCTGAACCTTCCGGGGCTCGTGCCGCGTGCGCTGAACCCTCGTCGTCGTCGTCGTCGTCGGCGTCGGCAACGTAGGCGTCATCGTCGTCGTCGTCGTCGTCGTCGTCGTCGTCGTCGTCGTCTTCGTCGTCGTCGTCGCCGCCGCCGTCGTCGTCGTCGTCCCCCCATCCCACCTGGGGAGGGGGGGGGCGGCGCAAGACCCTGGGACTCATCCTATCCGGTGGGGGTCGCGGGCCCGAAGATCGGGAACGTACCATCGATTTTTTTCCCTAACAGAAATAATTCGCTGAGCAATTAATGCTGTAGCTGTACTGTAGGGTGCTACAGTAAATAATTCGCTGAGCAATTAATGCTGTAGCTGTAGCTGTAGCTGTAGCTGCGACGAAGCTTTCGCGCGGCGTTTTTTTTTCTGTTTTTTTACGACGCCGGGAGGTCTGGGCCAGGAAGGAAAAAGGAGTTAGAAAGGAATTTGATAAGGGATTTCAAAAGTTAGAAAGGAATTCAGTTTTTTGCGTTAAATTTGTTTTTTTACGACGCCAGGAGGTCTGGGCCGGGGAAGAAAAAGGAGTTAGAAAGGAATTTGATAAGGAATTTCAAGAGTTAGAAAGGAATTTCGTTGTTGGGGTCGTTTTTTTTTTTTTTAACGACGCCGAGATGTCTGGGCCAGGAAGGAAAAAAAGGAGTTAGAAAGGAAATTGATAAGGAATTTCCAGAGTTAGAAGGGAATTTCGTTTTGGGTGTTGTTTTTAAACAAAAAAGAAACGACGCCGGGAGGTCTGGGCCAGGAAGGAAAAAGGAGTTAGAAATGAATTTAATAAGGAGTTTCAAGAGTTAGAAAGGAATTTCGTTTCTGGTGGTGTTTTTTGTGTTGTTTTTTACGACGCCGAGAGGTCTGGGCCAGGAAGGAAAAAGGAGTTAGAAAGGAATTTAATAAGGAATTTCAAGAGTTAGAAAGGAATTTCGTTTTTTGGAAATTGTTTTTTGTTTTGTTTTTTTACGACGCCGACAGGTCTGGGCCAGGAAGGAAAAAGGAGTTAGAAAGGAATTTAATAAGGAATATCAAGAGTTAGAAAGGCATTTCGTTTTTTTGATTATTTTTGTTTTGTTTTTGAAACCACACCGAGAGGTCTGGGCCAGGAAGGAAAAAGGAGTTAGAAAGGAATTTAATAAGGAATTTCAAGAGTTAGAAAGAAATTCATTTTTGGTGGCTGTTTTTTTGTTTTGATTTTTTAACGACGCCGGGAGGTCAGGGCCAGGAAGGAAAAAAGGAGTTAGAAAGGAATTTATCAATGAATTTCAAGAGTTAGAAAGAAATTTTGTTGTTCTGGTTGTTTTTTGTTTCATTTTTTACAACGCCGAGAGGTTTGGGCCAGGCAGGAAAAAAGGAGTTAGAAAGGAATTTAATACAGGAGTTTCAAGAGTTAGAAAGGAATTTCGTTTTTGGTGGTGTTTTTTTTTTCTTTTGTTTTTTACGACGCCGAGAGGTCTGGGCCAGGAAGGAAAAGGAATTAGAAAGGAATGTAATAAGGATTTCCAAGAGTTACAAAGGAATTTCGTTGTTTTGATTTTTTTTTACGACGCCGAGAGGTCTGGGCCAGGAAGGAAAAATGAATTAGAAGGGAATGGAATAAGGAATTTCAAGAGTTAGAAAGGAATTTCGTTTTTTGGGGCTGTTTTCTGTTTTTTTTACGCGCCGAGAGGTCTGGGCCAGGAAGGAAAAAAGGAGTTAGAAAGGAATGTAATAAGGAATTTCCAGAAATAAAAAGAAGGTTCGTTTTTGGTGTTGTTTTTTTTTTGTTCTGTTGTTTCACGACGCCGAGAGGTCTGGGCCAGGAAGGAAAAAGGAGTTAGAAAGGAATTTAATAAGGAATTTCAAGAGTTAGGAAGGAATTCAGTTTTTGGTAGTTGTTTTTTGTTTTGTTTTTTCACGACGCCGAGGTTTGGGCCGTCCTGGCCCAAACCTCTCGGCGTCGTAAAAAATAAATCAAAAAACGAAACGAAAAACAACCCCAAAAAACGAAATTCCTTTCTAACTCTTGAAATTCCTTATTAAATCCCTTTCTAACTCGTTTTTCCTTCCTGGCCCAGACCTCTCGGCGTCTTAAAAAAGCAAAACAAAAAAACAACCCCCAAAACGAAATTCCTTGCTTGCTAACTCTTGAATTTCCTTATCAAATTCCTTTCTAGCTCGTTTTTTTTACTTCCTGGCTCAGACCTCTCGGCGTCGTTAAAAAAACAAAACACCAAAACAACCCAAAAAACAACATTCCTTTCTAACTCTTGAATTTCCTTATCGAATTCCTTTCTAACTCCTTTTTCCCTTCCTGGCCCTGGCTTCCTCGGGCAATTCGGACTCGATTGTCTTTGAGGTTCAGAACTATCTCTGGTATTCAAATTCCTTTCTAACTCAGGAAATTCCTTATCGAATTCCTTTCTAACTTCCCAACTCAATAGAGAAAATGCATAACCAAAATGCTCTTGGCAATATTTCGAGCCTACATTATTAATTCCCGACACAATTATTGATGTAATTGCATACAGTGCGCACTACAGAAATAATTCCGAAACCAATTAAAGCTGTACTGTAACCAAAACAAATCAATGGTATGCTCTGTTCCCTTTGGATTTGGCGGGGCCCATCTCATCCCTGAGCGATGAAAGCAGCGAGTCTTGCGCGAGACGCCTCAACGACCTTACGCAGCGGCACTCCGCACTGGAGACGAGGGCGCTCACGCGCGACCCCACACGGGCAGCTTGCGCGCCAATGTCGGCACAGACGAGCCCGTGTTTGGGCCTCGCTCGCCTCGCGACTGAGCCGGCGGGGCTGAGATGTCGCAGGCTGGCGGGGACGGGGATCGGTTAGACTCAGGCTGAACTCCGAACTGCTCGTCTCGAAGCCCTCCTCTGATGCGTTTCCTTAAAAAGGACGCCAGCATAAGGAACTTCCGAGACCGCGGCGGTGCACCCGAGACTTTCAAGTTCGAGCGAGTTCGTGGTGCGACGACCCCGCGGGCCAAGCCGATGCCGAGCGGACTCGAGACATCGGCACCACCCGTTCCAAGAGTCCCTTTCCCTGCGCGCGCGCGAGGTGGGAGCCTGCGCCGCCGCCAGCAGCGGCTCCCGCAGCGGGCCTGCCGCGCCCGCCTTCTCCTCCGCCGCCGCCCTGGCGGGGAAGCCGCGGGCAGGCAGGCGAGGTGCCCCCGAGCATCCGCTGGCTCGAACAGAAGCGCCGCATCTGGAGGCTTGGGAACGGCCCCCAGCACCAGGGCAGGAGGTTGCCTCCGTGGAGTGTTTCTCCGAAGGGCTTAGGCGACCCGTCCTCCTCCTCTCCTCCTCCGCCTCCTCCTCCCCCCCCCTCCTCCTCCTCCTCCTCCTCCTCCTCCTTCTCATCCTCCTCCTCCATTTGTTTTCCCCCCTCCCCCTCCTCTCGCCTCCTCCTCCTCCTCCTCCTCCTCCTCCTTCTCCGCCTCCTCCTCCTCCTCCTCCTCCTCCTCCTCCTCCTCCTCCTCTTCCTCCTCCTCGGGGCGCCTATGGCCCCAGGGGAAACCGTGCATGCCCCCGCCAGGAGCAGGGGATCCTGGACTTCAGTGTCGGTGGTGCTTTTTCGGCCACCCATGAAACCCCAATCTTGCCACCGTCGCCGGGATCGGGATCATCGTCCCTCGGCGGGGAAACTCTGCCGATCTTGGTGTTGGTGGCAACTTGTAGACCTCTGAGGCATGGTCGGTTCTTCCCTGATTCTGCGGTCCTGAAGCCGCTTCGCAGGCCCTGGCTATCGAAGAAAAACGGCTCGGAGCCCCAAACACGTGTGGTGACGGACCGCGTGGTGACCTCGAAACCCCCGACGAGCCCCAGTCGACCGAAGCATCCTCGGAGAACGACTAAGGCAAAAAACCGTGTGGTGATCCTAAATCCCTACTGACTCACCACTCGGTACGGTCACCGCACCGTTCTGGGGACCACCGAAAAATGGTTCGATTGGGGAGGCTCTTCCCCGGCGGGAAGGGGTCGAGATGTCTGGGGGCACGTATTGACCAAGTCACCCACGATGAGGAGAAGGAGGAGGAAGATAAACGCAACAGGCTCGCACCGAATGTCGGACGAACGTAAAAACGACGAGGCGGAGCAGGAGGAGGAGGAGGAGGACGACAGGAGGAGGAGGAGGAGGAGGAGGCGGAGGAGGAGCAGGAGGAAAAGAAGGAGCAAGAGGAGGAGGAGGAGGAGGAGGAGGAGGAGGGGGAGGAGGAGGAGGAGGAGGAGGAGGAGGAGGAGGAGGAGGAGAAGGAAGAGGAAGAGGAGCAGGAGGAAGAGGAGGAAAACATGAGTTTTCCCCTCAGGCCCGCTGCCTGTCGCCAGGCCTCCTGCCTCCACAAGGGCGGGGATCGGCCCAGCTCGCCTCTCGCACCCTCTACCCGCCAGGTCTGTATATGAACTCGTCGAGCGCGATGCCCCTTGTAGCCCGGTTCGCGTCCTTCGGGAACTTCCTGCACCGTCCTTCTTTCTTGAACTTGTTTGCGAGCCGCTTCTGGCGATGTGACTTTGCTGCGGCTTTCTCACACGTGCTGATACAGCTGGTGGCCTCCAGCCTTCGGAACCTCCTTGCAAATCCTTGGACTTTGGCTGTCTCGGCTGCGTTGGCAGCGGTCTGCCTCGCGGCGAGAGACCGCTCCATTTCCTTACAACAGCTGAAGACGTCGGCTCAAAATTCGCCTCACCCGCTCTCTCAGAATTCGCGCTTGGTGGTCCAGCCGTGGCGATGCGGGGCGACGAGACGGGATATTGGGTTCTAGCTTCGCTTCTGCCGACGTTCCCTTCTCGCAGCTGTTGGCGTCTGTCTTCTCGCAAGCCCCGACCCGTAGTTGATGGCGTCTGGCTGATCGCACGCGCGGTCCTGGCCCCTTTTGAAGCTGCTGCTGCCTGCCTTTCTCGCACGCACAGGGTCCGCCTTCTTGCTGTCGCTGCCCGTCCGCATGATGCTGCCTGCCTTTCTTGCACGCACAGGGTCCGTTTTCTTGCTGTCACTGCCCGTCCGCATGATGCTGCCACTGCCCGTCCGCTTGCGGCTGCCACTGCCCGTGCGAATGATTCTGCCACTGCCCGCCCACCTGAGGCTGCCACTGCCCGTCCGCTTGAGACTGCCACTGCCTGTCCGCTTGCGGCTGCCACTGCTCGTCCGCTTGCGGCTGCCACTGCCCGCCCTTCTCGCACATGCAGCCGTTTCCCGCTCGATGCTGCCACTGCCCGTCCGCTTGCAGCTGCCACTGATCGTCCGCTTGCGGCTGCCACTGTCCGTCCTTCTCGCGCGCGCAGTCGTCTCCTTCTCGATGCTGCCACTGCCCCTGTCTCTCTCGCATACCCTGATCCCAGCGCTGTAGCTGATGGTGTCGGGCTCTCCCGCGCCTCCCACTTCTCGCACGCGCTGTTCCCAGCAGCGTGGCTAGAATAGTTGGGCTCCAGCTGTGCCCCCTGCCCGTTCTTCTTACACGAGCTCCCCGCACGGCGCTGCCACTGCCCGTCAGGTTCGTCCTGATCCCAGCGCTGTAGCTGATGACGATGGGCTCGTCCTTCGCCTGGCTCGAGGTGTGCTCGCCTCCGTCGCCTCGGCGCACTCTGCTGGGCCCACAGGGTAGCCTGGGCGACACTGGGCTCTATCCTCGCCTCTCGCTTCTCGCACGTCAAGTTCCCAGTGCTGTAGCTGATGGTGTCTGGTTCCGTCCTTTCCTCTCGCGTCTCGCACGTCTTGATCCCCGTGCTGTAGCTGGCGATGCCTGGCTCCAGCTTCGCGTTTCCTTTCTCGCACGCCCTGCTTCCAGCTCTGTAGCTGATGGCGTCCGCCTGCGCCTCCGCCAGAGCAGCCTTCTCGCCCTTCGGCTCTTGCAGCCACGCCTCGATCGGCTCCCAGCCTCCGTCGCCGGCGCCGAACGGCGTGCCAAGCCAACCGAAGTCGACTGCTGCTTGCCGGCGTGTCGCCAGGCGCAGCCCCCGCGCGAGGCTGTCACCGCGTCGCGCCTCCTCCTGGCGCTGGGGGCATCCCCGATGGCACGGCTCGCCGCGCCGCCGCGGGCAAAACGGCTGCGGGCCCGCCGGATAGCCACCTGAGGAGAAAGACAAGAAGAAGAGGAGGAGGATGATGAGAAGGAGGAGGAGGGGGAGGAGGAGGAGGAGGAGGAGGAGGAGGAGGAATGGGATGATGAGGTGGAGGAGGGGGAGGTTGGGGGGGAAGGAGGACGGACGGCCCTTTCCCCCCCTCCCCCGCTCCTGCTCTGGCTGACTCTCCTCCTCCTGGCGTCCTCCGACTCCTTTTCTACCCTCTTCTCCTCCATGCCCCCCCGATGAGCGACGCCGCCGCCGCCCTGGCCCAGACCGCGACGCTGGAAGCGCGACTACGGTTGCAACTCCTCCTGCTGCTGCTGCTGCTGCTGCTGTCGGATAGCTTGCCGCTTTGATGCCGAGCGTGCCCGCGATCGCGAGCCAGGAGTTGGAGCGCCCGATGCCCTCAGCCCCATCGTCGCCGCAACCTCTCCTCAAACACTGCCCACCAAGGCGTCCTCCCGAGCGCGCTCCGCCCAAGATCCCGGGGCGCACCCGGCGGTTTGCGACGAGAGGGGGGGTGGCCGAGTACGCCGCCCAGCAGGAGGGGGAGGAGTGGAAGAGAAGATGGAGGACACCTCGCCATCGCTCGGACGTCCATTCCCTGCGTCTTTTCGGTTTCGCGCGTGGTTTTTCGCCCGATGATCAAGGATGCTCCTCCATGGTCCTCAGCGAAAGGAAAATGCACACGTCCGAGCGATGCCAAGACACCGTCGTCGTCTGGTCAAGATCTGGTCAGCAGGCGGTGCCCGAGCCCCTCCCTGGGCCAATCCTGGCCACCTTTCCAGGCCACGCCTGGCCGAGGCGGCGGCGAAGAAACACCAGAAAGCCTCTGACGCGAAGGCGAAGACATCGTCGCCGCTGGCGCCGGCGCGCTGCCGCCGCGCCGCCGCTGCTGCGCAGTCCGGCGCAGTAAAAGGCGGCACCGCCAGCGCCACTGCCGCTGACGTCGTCGTCGTCGTCGTCGTCGTCCTCGTCGTCGTCGTCCTCGGCGGCGGCGTCGGCGTCGGCGTCGGCGGCGTCGTCGTCGTCGCCGTCAATCGGTCGTCGTTCGTTGCCGGCGTCGGAGCTGGCTGCGCGCCTGGCGTGCCGCTCGCGGGGCGGGCCGCTCGCCGGGAGCGAAGGGATCGGCAGCGGGGGCGCCGCCGCGGGCTGCGGGGGCGGCGGGGGCTCGGCGGGCCCGTTCCGTTGGCACTTCGGCTCTATGTCTAAGACATAGAGCCGAAAGTGGAACGCCTCATCCCTCCTCCCTCCTCCCTCCTGCCCCCTCTTGGGTGACCCAAAAAGGGTCCAGCGGAAAGGAGGTGGTGCAATAGATTTGGGGCAAGTGTATTGCAAATGTACTGCGCCGGAGAATTGGATCGCATTGTGTTGCAAGGAAGGTATAGCGCGCGAAAATGCAGCAATACATTTGCGCCCCGAAATGTATTACACGCCCCAAATGTATTGCAACTCCACAAATCTATTGCACCACCAGTTATTGCACCACCCCCGTGTCGCTGGACCCCCTTTTGGGTCAACCCTGAGTCTTGCAGCGCGGAAGGCGTTTCTTGGCAACCAGCCCAGGGGGGGGAAACGAGGGCCCCCATAGGCCAAACCCGTGAGGTTATGGAACGGCCTGGGAAAATGAGAACCGCTGGTCCCAGGGCGGTCCCCGATCCCCACAGACCCCCGGGCGTCATGATTTTCTCAGAACGTAGATCCCTAGAGGTCTCGACCCGCTCCTCTGGGCCAGCGATTCATCCTGAACCCGTTGTTGACAACTCTGGGGCCCCGCGAGAGCCCCCACAGACAGAAACCGTGAGGAAGTAACCAGCAACACACACGCCCGCCGTGTAAGTTCGAAACGCGACGATGATGTCGATGACGCTGACGATGACGAAGGCGACGATGACGTCATCGTTAACGATAACGAAGACATCGTCATCGTCATCGTTAATGAACACGCCCGCCGTGCTATTTAGAAGCGCGAGATTAGCTGAGCTAGTGATCCCGGGGCGCGCCCCCCGCTCGGCGCCGCTCTCCCAAGACATCCTCTGACATGATGCGTCAATCTCAGCGGTTCTCCTTTCGGTGGCGAGCCTGGGGGGGAATGGAGTGGAGGACGACGAGGGAGGGGCAAGGTTAAGGGAAGAGGAGGGGGAGGGGGAGAAGGAGGGGGATACTACGGGAGGGGGAGGGGGAGGAGAATAAAGGGGGGGGAGGAGAGGAAGGAGGAGGAGAATGAGGGAGGGGAAGGAGTAGGAGGGGGTCGGCGGCGAGCCCAGGGGGAAGTGCGAAGGGGCGGGCCTTCTCAGGAGGCTCGGAAGACCCCCGCCCTTCCGAGAGGTTTTCTAAGCCTTCCCTTAAGTCGGGCGTGTTCCCCTACAGGGGGATTTTTGACGATAAATAACACATATTTCAAACATACTCCAAAATGGTAAGCAAATACAAAAAATAGTTTCCAGACCATGTTTGGACTATTGTTGAGTATTCCTCCTGTAGAGGGACGGGCCCGACTTAAGCCTTCCCCGAAGACACAGAAAACCTCTCAGACGGCCAGTGGGCTTCTGAGAAGCCCCAGCCGCCTTCGCCTTCTGAGCAGGCCTTCTCCTTCTCACTTCCCCCTCGCTCGCCGCCGAGCTTGGCATCCGAGGCCACACCCCATCATCGCAGAGTGGTTGGGCGCGCATAGCAGCAGAAAACGTCCACGTCTTGGGTCAGTTACTGCACCCAGTTCCGGTGCGCGAGAACAGGGTGCAAAGCAGGGCTAAGGTTAGGGCCTAGCGGGCTCAAGGTGTGGGGGATTGGCGACTCCTCCCTTCCCATGTAGGCGAGGGCAAAGAACACAGAAACTCCTTGTCGTAAGGGCGGCTTGTCCTCATTCGTGTCTGTCATCGCTTGGGGCTGGCAACGTCGGGGGCTACATCGGGGGCTGGCAACGTCTCCGAGGGCCAACTGGCCCCGCCTCATTATGCATACTCATTATCATCACCACCATCACCATCACCATTATCATCACCTTCATCATCATCACCTTCATCACCTTCATCATCATCATCATCATCATCATCATCATCATCATCATCATCATCATCATCATCATCATAAGTATCATCATCATGTTCAGCGTCATCCTCATCATCACCATCATCGGCATTACCATCATCGTCCTTATCACTATGATCATGATCAGCATCGTCATCCACATCATCATCATCAGCATCACCACCACCACCGTCACCACCACCATCACCAACACCAGCACCATCATCATCATCATCATCATCATCATCATCATCATCATCATCATCATCATCATCATCATCGTCGTCGTCGTCGTCGTCATTATCGTCAACATCAGCAGCAGCAGCAACAATATCAGCCATGAATATCACGATGAGCAGCATAAGCATCAACACCATCATCATCGTCATAAGCATCACCATCATCACCATCATCATCACCATCCTCCTCCAAATCATCAATATCACCAGCATCATCAACAGCATCATCAACATCAACATTAACGTCAATACCATCATCAACATCAACACCAACATCATCACCAGCATCTACATCATCATCATCATCATCATCATCATCATCATCATCATCATCATCATCATCATTATCAACATCATCGTCGCCGTCGTCATCATCAGCAGCACCATCATCAGCATCACCATCATCATCAGCAGCAACATCAACATCAACATCAACATCAACATGAAGGCCCCGAATTTCCGTGCCGCCCTTGATCAAATTGGTCGGCTGGCTCGCAAAAGTCTGGTGCGCCCGCTCTGGCTGTTGCTCGATCCGTGCTCGTTGCGCTGGCGGGACGTGTCCTTGAACAGCAATGCAATGCTACACAAAGAGTTCGTGTGTGTGTGTGTAACGGCGTCGTCTGATGCTACCACTTTCCCCCCCTAAACGGGATCTCTAATAAGCCAGGACACTTGGTGCGCCCTAGAAGATCGCAGCGGTGGGTCGACACATGCTCCATTCCCCGTTCTCTCTAGATGGGCTGACTGGGGCCCTGGGGGCCCGCTTGTTCACGCGTCGACTCGAGACCAGGCCCGGAGCAGATCGAGCACTTGAAGCACGAGGGTGAGATGGGGGCGGATCCCCACCCAGCAGAGGGGCAGACCCCGGTGCATGTCCTCGGGCTCCTCATAGTAAGCACCCCGACGAGCGAAGCCTGTAGTAACCGCAACCAGGCAAGGGGATTTGAACAGGGAAGGGCTGCTCAGTAAACTCCCAACGCTGTTTAGCAAACGCCGACTGTGGGGGTCGGGGTAATCCCACCAGCCCTTTAGGACGTAGGTCCAAAACGGCCTCGGCGGGGAAGCCAAAATCATTGGTTTTACTCAGGTTCTGGCCCCATTTTGGCACCCTCCGGGGGCCCACGACTAATCAAAGCTCACCTCTTGTTTGATCCATGTCCTCCAAGATGGCCAGAAGATGGTCCCCGAGGCTCCCAAGGGCGCTCCAAGAGAGCCCCAAGAGTTGCCCAGGAGGCCTCAAGAGGCCCCCAGGATGCGTGGCCTTCGTGTCAAAGGCTGTTGTTTTCGTGTGGACCTCTAGACCCGAAATGAAAATTCTTGAAACCAAAACTACATCAAGCATCAAATCTGGCCGTCTCATGCTTTCCACCGCGTCGGAGGCTCCTTGAACCAATGTAATATGAAAACGCGTCTGGAGCTCTGGAGCCCGTCTTTGCGTTCAATTTCCCGAGTCTGATCCCTTCGTGAGTCGTGAGGGTCCTGGGGCACGAAGCCAAATAAGCCCTGAGGTCGCTTTTGTTTCACGACGCCTGGATAGAAGGACCCAGGGGTGGAGAGAGGTGGCCCTGTTCTGCCCGCCCACATCCTGACGCCGAGGTCCATCACGACGGCGACGAGGACATCGGGCCAGGACGACTGCTGCCCAAGACGACGGACCACGACGACGACGGCGGCGATGGCGACGAGTACGATGACCACGTCCACGACCGGGTCGGACACAAGGGGGGGTAGTGAAATGAAGGTTAGCGAATCAGCTGACGTAGCTGACTTTTCTGGCGCCAGCGTTTCGAGGAAATCGCCCTGGGGCGGGGACGAAACCAACTGCACGCAACTCTATTCGTAACCTCCCCCTCCTTTTCTAGAGGCCTCCTAGATTGGGTCCGAGTAGATGGGGTCGAAGGATCGCCCCGTATCGCCAATGCATCGCCGATGCATCATCGGCGACGTCGACGATGCATCGGCGACGTCGGCGTCGGGAAACACGGTCTCCACGTCGAGCCGCATCGTCGATGCATCGGCGATGCGGCGCGATCCTCCGACCCCATCTACTCCGACAACATCTTCGGGGGCGGCCAAGAGGGGGTGTCCAAGAGGGGGAGCTCAAATCATGGCCGGAGGCATGTGCGCGGCCCAGGGAGCGGGGCCAGGGAACGTAATGAAATAATAAGACTTGAAGACGCGCCATGGCATCCGGGGAAACATATCGTGGCACACGCCATGATATCCCCCCCCCTAGTCATTACCCCCCTCTTTGCCGCCCCCGACATCTAGGAGGAGAGAGGGAGGAGGGAGGAGGAGGAGGAGGAGGAGGAGGAGGAGGAGGAGGAGGAGGAGGAGGAGGAGGAGGAGGAGGAGGGGCCGCCCCCAACTCTCGTCTGACCCGACACGACAGCTGCGACGGCGACGGCGACCGGGCCCTTTTTCGCTGCGCTTAATTCCTCACGCCCCGGGCAGCGTGCTGGCGCGGGCTCTGCCTGACCTGCGCGGCCGTCGGCGACCTCGGACGCCGCCGTGAGAGCGGGCGCGGAAGGCTGGCGGGGCCTCCACCTTTCCCTTTCCCTCCTCGGGGGCGCACTGACCCGGGTCAATGCAAACCCGGGTCAGTCAGGGGCTTACAGGGATCTTGTAAGATCCTGCAGGATCCTGCACCCAAGGCCCAGGTCAGTGCGACCCTGGCCCTGCAGGATCCTGCAAGATTCGGCGCTCTGGCTGACCCACGATTGCATGGACCCCAGGTTTCAAGGCTCCCGACCTCCATCACACTGATGTCCTCAAGTTTTTGAGAGACTTTGGTATCCTCGCCTTTTCAGGCTGTCGACGCTCCAGAACGGCCCCCGCCATCGCCCCGAGAAGGCCCAAGACGCCCCGAAGAGGGCCCCCAGACGGCCCAAGAGGGCCACAAGACGGCTCAATAATTACGTCGGACCTGTCCCTCTACAGGACGAAAATTCAAACATGGGAAAAATATCCCGGCGAAAGACCCGACCATATGCAGCTGTCGGTATCGCAATTGTGAATAGCTTCAGCGCTGCACTGGATGGGGGTGAACGCATGCGGGCGGTAGCACAAGGGGCCGTCGGTGGAGCTTCCTACGGGGCCACGAAACGTTGTAATGGGTGGGTGAAAATGCCAAATTGGGTTTGTGGGGCGCATGCGGACGGTCCCACTGGGGGCCTCGGTGGAGCTCCCTACGCTATACTGGGTGGGTGAAAATGCCACATTGGGCTTCCGGGACGCACGCGGACGATCCCAATGGGGGCTTCGGTGGAGCTCCCTATGGGGCCACGAAACGCTGTACTGGGTGGGTGAAAATGCCAATTGGGTTTCCGGGACGCACGCGGACGGTCCTGTCCCACTGGGGGCTTCGGTGGAGCTCCGGATGGGGCCACGAAGGGCTATACTGGGTGGGTGGAAATGCCAAATTGGGTGTGCGGGACGCATGCGGACGGTCCCAACAGGGGCTTCGGTGGAGCTTCCTATGGGGCTATACTGGGCGGGTGCAAATGACAACCAAATTAGGTGTGTGTGGGACGCACGTGGGCGGTCCCACTGGGGGCTTCGGTGGAGCTCCCTCTTGGGGCCACGAAGCGCTGTACTGGGAGGGTGAAAATGTCAAATTGCGTGTGCGGGACGCATGCGGGCGGTCCCCCTGGGGGCTTCGGTGGAGCTCCCTATGGGGCCACGAAGCGGTGTACTGGGTGGGTGGAAATGCCAAATTGGGCGTGCGGGACGCATGCGGACGGTCTCACTGGCCACGAAGCGCAGTACTGGGTGTGGCGGACGCATGTGGCCACCCCTGCTGGGGCCTCCGATGGAGCTCCCTATGGGGCCACGAAGCGCTGTACTGGGTGTGGCGGACGCATGTGGCCAGGGCCTTCGGTGGAGCTCCCTGTGGGGCCACGAAGCGCTGTACTGGGTGTGGCGGACGCATGTGGCCATCCCCACTGGGGCCTTGGGTAGGGCTCCCTATGGGGCCACGAAGCGATGTACTGGGTGTGGCGGACGCATGTGGTACCCCCACTGGAGCCTTACGTGGAGTTCCCTCTGGGGCCACGAAGCGCTGCACTGGGTGTGGCGGACGCATGTGGTACCCCCACTGGGGGGGCACGGGAGGAGGAGGAGACGCGGGGACCGTTCCTTCATTACGCTACCGAAGAACCCCACATACTTATATCATGGCTGGAGTGATGATAGTTGAAGTGAAACATGTGATAATGATGTTGGTGGCCATTCCCTGCACACCTCCTATGGTGTCGAGAAAATGCCACGCCTGTTGCGCCCTGGACGACCGGCTCGGATAGCGGCCGCGCTCAGAGACCACCACCTGCGGGGACCCCCTGAGATTATGAGAATATGCCACGCCTGCTCCGCCAGCGTTCCCGTGTGCCCTGAGCACGACCGACACGGATAACAAACTTGCGTACCGATGTGCTCTGAGCACCACCGTCACCGATAGAGGCCGCGCTCAAGGACCACCCCGTGCGCATCCACTGTGGTGTCGAGAATATGCCATGCCTGCTATGCCCTGGACGACCGTCACGGACAGCAACGCCCTGAAGACCGGGACCACCCCCTGTGCACCCCCTATGGTGTCGGGAAAGTGCCACTCCTGCTATGCCCTGGACGACAGGCACGGATAGCGGCCGCGCTCGGGGACCACTCCCTGCGCACCCCGTCTGGCGTCGAGAAAGTGCCACGCCTGCTATGCTCTGCGCCATGGCCCGCATATACGCCGCGCTCGGGGACCACCCCCTGCGCACCCCCTATGGTGTCGGGAAACAACCACGCCTGCTATGCTCTCCGCTATGACCCGTATAGACGCCGCGCTCGGGGACCACCCCCTGCGCACCCCCTATGGTGTCGGGAAACAACCACGCCTGCTATGCCCTCCGCTATGACCCGTATAGACGCCGCGCTCGGGGACCACTCCCTGCGCACCCCCTCTGGCGTCGAGACAGTGCCACGCTTGCTATGCCCTGCGCCATGGCCCGCATAGACGCCGCGCTCGGGGACCACCCCCTGCGCACCCCCTATGGTGTCGAGAAAGTGCCACGCCTGCTATGCCCTGCGCCATGGCCCGCGTAGACGCTGCGCTCGGAGACCGACCCCTGCGCACCCCCTATGGTGTCGAGAAAGTGCCATGCCTGGTATGCCCTGCGCCATGGCCCGCCTAGACGCTGCGCTCGGGGACCACTCCCTGCGCACCCCCTATGGTGCCGAGAAAATGCCACGCCTGCTATGCCCTGCGCCATGGCCCGCATAGACGCCGCCCTCAGGGACCACCCCCTACGCACCCCCTATGGTGTCGACAAAACCCGACGCCTGCTGTGCCCTGAACGACCGTCGTGCTGTGCTGTGCTGTGCTGTGCTGTGCTGCGCTGTGTGAGAAGGCATGTAGGAAAAAACGAGGCCCCATCACCACAGGATGGTTGGGAAATGATACGGGGACGATTGTCTGACCATTTTTGGATATTGTTTGAACATGTTTAGGGTGCTTTCGTCTTTCGTCCACAATCCGCGGATTTGGTTTTGAATACGCTTGGGGTACCTTCGTTCTTCGTCCAAAATCCACCTCACAAGGGACAGGCCCGACCTAACCCAAGAGGGCGCCGCACCGACACCGCGTGCATCGTCCAACCTTCAACGATCGGGATACGCAGAAAGCAGCTTCTATACACCACCACCGTGCCAGGCCAGGGCCATCCTGGGCCCTAGGATGGTGCATACGCCCTCCTGGCCGAGCCAGGAGGGTCTATACACCATCCTACGACCCAGGATGGCCCTGGCCTGGCACGGTGGTGGTGTACAGATGCCTTCAGCGACCGGGAACTCCTCCATCCCCACATCGTTCCACGTTGGCCGATCCTGGGCCCCCGGCGGCGCTCCACCCTGCACGCCCACGCAGGGGCCGCGGCCGCGCGCCAACACGACGACACGAACCCACCGCAGCAGTCGGGCACACGCCAACACTCGGGGAGACGTAAGACTCGGGTACAGGGGACTCGGGCTGGCCTGACGGGGCCATCAAGAAGCTGACGAAACGCAGTCTGGAATTTGGCGCGAGCTCCCGCCGCAGACGTCCCACGGAGACCAGACCGCCAAAATCCAAAACGCGCTCGTCAAAAACCGTCGGTCGACACGAGTCCCAACTTACTCGAGTCTTACGTTTCCCCGAAACACGGGCTACGGAGCCGTCGATCTGGCGCGTGGGCGCCAGGTCCGCGGGTCGGGAAAGGCCCCCCCCCCCCCCCCGAAGCACGAAGCCAACGCCGCCCGATCGGGCGCCGGAGCGCGCCGCTTCTGCACGAGAGCGGGACCCGCCGCTGATCCACTCGCACTGATCCACGCTCGCGCCTCGATAAGAAACACCCCTCTCCCACTCTGAAGGGGCCCCAGGACACACAAATGAATACACATAAATAAAATAATTCCCCATATTTTCCTGTTTCGTCTGGGTTTTTGTCTTCCCCCCACTTCCCATATTTTCCCATTTTTCCCCATATTTTCCTGGGGATCGACGATTAATTGTGTCTGTGTGTTTTTTTCCCTCTTGATCGATAAGAAACACCCCTCTCCCACTCGAGTGGTCGCCGACAGCGGACACCCATCGACCCCGAGAATCCCTGTCGACAACATTGCGAGACGAGTGTTGCGGCAGACGCTGGGCACCGCGCGGGCGCGGTATCACATCGTCAGGCTGGTTTTGCCCAGGGTTTTCGGGCTGGGATCGTATTTTCCAAAGCGTGCAGGCCCGCCATCTGCGTCAACACCACATGACAAAGTATTGCCTGCGCACGCGCGCACCATTCGCGACGATAACCACCCCGGCACGTTACTGGGGCCCTT